GGGGGGGGACATTTTTTCAGAGCTTTGTCATTATTGTCACCTCTGAGGCTGAGAGAGTGTGACTCGCCTAAGGTCACTCAGTGGGTTTCCATGGCTGAGCGAGGATTCGAACCCGGGTCTCTAGAGTTGTAGTCCAGCACTCAAACCACTGCGCCACGCTGCCTCTTCCATTCCCTCCAGGGCCCCCCGGACTTAATTAGCCCGCTCCCCGCCTCCGAAGCCCCAGGAGCCTCCAAGCGAGGCGCCCTCCTTCCTCACCTTCCACGCCTTGCCCCGAAGCCTCTCCAACACAGGAACCCAAAGGGACTAACAATCCCGGCAGCTGATTGGCTGGAGATGTCTCTCGCTCTCAGATACTTTTCTTAGTGATTGGCTAGCGGGAAAGAGGCTCGGAGAACCCTGGGAGGCGATTGGCTAAGTCGCGGACCACGCGCGTACCCTATTGGCTGAAGCGGCTACGGTTCCGAACGCTGAGGAACTTTTTGCCTCAGCTGATTGGCTGCTGGAGAGGCTTGACCTTGCTACGCTTGGTTCTTGGGCCAATAGAAAGCTCTTGCCCTGCGCGCTTTGAAAGGTGGCTAGGCCATGGAAACCCTGTGGGTGACCTTGGGCAAGTCACACTCTCTCAGCCTCGGGTAAGTCATACTCTCTCAGCCTCAACCATGGCTGCATCTTCTGGGCAGTTTCTTGTTTTTTTTTAAATTATTGACGTTATAAAATATCACATAACTATATATCAATCAATATAACGTAATTCTACATAAGAATAAAAGAAGAACAGCATTCTTCTGTCCGTTCTTCCTTCACTCTCCTCTCTTCCTTCTCTCTTCCTTTCACTTCGTTATTCATACTGCTTACCTTCAAGACTTCCTATCATTAGTCAAATTCAGGGAAGTTGAATTTTTCCTTATCATTTTGTCTTGTCTTCCATTATCTTTGTATAATAATCTTAAAATTATATACCCACCCTTCCCCAAAATCACCAACTAGTTAGTTAGTTGGAAAAATTTCTTCAGGTATGTGTGTGTGTGTGTGTCTGTGCCCTGAGGCTGAGAGAGTGTGACTCACCCAAGGTCACCCAGTGGGTTTCATGGCTGAGCTGGGATTCGAATCCAGGTCTCCAGATTCATTGGCTGCATCTGCACTGCAGAAATAATCCGGTTTGATACCGCTTTAACTGCCATGGCTTAATGCTGTGGAATTCTGGGATTTGCAGTTTTGCGAGATATTTAGCCTTCCCTCTCAGAGAGCCCTGGTGGCACAACAATCTACAAATCCCAGGATTCCATAGCATGGAAGAACCAAGGCAGTTAAAGTGGTGCCAACTTGGGTTATTTCTGCAGTACTGATGAGACCAAAATCAACAGTTAAATCGAACACCTTTAGAGGAAGGGCACAATAAGACCAAAGCCTCAGAAGAGTAAAATTAAAAAAGAGCAGAGTTAGCATTAGCAATTAATAGATTTCATTCTGTGACTGCATGCGTGCCTGGAGTGCTGGGAATTCCAATCCCTGTGATCAAATACAGAACCCAGGCCTGGCAATTCCTTCAGACAAGAAGGAGCAGGAACAAAATGTTGTAGGCAGAATATTCCCACCTGGACATATCCGCCATTTCTGTCCTGGAGGAATTCCAAAGCGCCCTCCATTTTGAGCATTTTCTTCAATCAGTCTCTTATTAATGCTTCGGCCAAAGGCTATTTGCATACAAAGCATTCAAATACAATACAATATGTTTGTTGTTGTTAGCTGCCCTTGAGTTGGTTCCGACTCATGGCAATTCTATGAATGAGGCATCTCCAAGAATCCCTATCTTCCACTGCCTTGCCCAGATCC